TCTAAAATATTTCCATTTTCTGTAAACATGAAATGGAAATTAAAATAGTCTCCTGCTTCTGTTTATTGAAAGATAAGGCTTCTATTTTTTCCTGTTGGTGATTTTAAATAAAGTTTAAAATGTTATTGCTAAGAGTCTGAAACAGTTCATTATTAGCTGTTTATAATTCATCCCAATTAAATTTTTTTATTGGTTTTTAAGTGGCAGAACAAATATGCTTTCTTACAGATGTGGAACCAAAAGTGTGGGTATATATAACAAAATTGATCCACAAAATTAATAAAATAAGAAGTATTTTGAAAAGAATACAAAAAGAGAGACCAGTTTGGTACAAGTATAAAATCTTTTAATCTACCTAAGAATTAGAAAATGATCCCTTTATTTTTAAAATTTTTTTAATTTAAAAAAATTTTTGATTGGTTGTGAATATTCATGAGATACAAAGCTGATTGTCATCACTTGTGCCCAAGATATGGTGGCCAGATCCATACTGGCGTCATGCCCATTACCACAAATTGCAATTATACCCCATGTCCCCCACTCAGTTATCCTCGACCTCTCTCCCCATTCTCCTTTCCCTCACTCCCCTTTGTATCCCTAGGAGTGCTCTCTCCCTTGCAAGTCCAACACACCACTGTGGTCTTCCTTTCCTTCCTTCTTTCACTCTTAGCTCCCACTTATGAGTGAGCACATGCAGTATTTATTCCTCTGTGCTTTGCTTATTTCACTCAACATAAGTTTCTCCAAGTTCATCCATGTTGTTGGAAATGAGAGAATTTCATTCTTTTTTATGGCAGAGTAGTATTCCATGGTGTATATATACCACAGTTTCCTTATCCAATTGTCCATTGATGGACATTTAGGTTTGTTTCATATCTTGGCTATTGTAAACAAGCTGTGATGAACATGGGAGTGCATGTATCCCTTTGACATGATGATTTCCTTTCCTTTGGGTATATACCCAGAAGTGGGATTGCTGGAACATATGGAAGGTCTATCTGTTTGAGAAGCCTCCATACTGTTTTCCTTAGTGGTTGTACTAATTTACAGTCCCATCAACAGTGTAGGAGCATTACCTTCTCTCTACACCCTTGCCAGCATTTGTTATTCTCTGTCTTTTTGATTATAGCCAGTCTAACTGGGGCAAGGTGATATCTCAATGTGGAGGTGAAAGATCTCTACAATGAGAACTAAAAACCGCTACTGAAAGAAATTAAAGAAGACACAAAAAGATGAAAAGACATTCCATACTCTTGGATTGGAAGAATTAACATTGTGAAAATGTCTATACTACCCAAAGCAATCTACAGATTCAATGCAATCCCCATCAAAATACTGATGGCATTCTTCATAGAAATGGAAAAAACAGTCTTAACATTCATATGAAACAACAAAAGACCCTGAATAGCCAAAACAATCCTGAGCAAAAGAGATAAAGCCAGAGGCATAACACTACCTTACTTCATATTATACTACAAAGCTATAGTAACCAGAACAGCATGGTACTGGAATAAAAGTAGACACTCAGACAAGTAGAGCAGAATAGAGAACCCAGAAATCACCCTTCAGTCTTACAGCCATCTGATATTTGACAAAGGCAACGAAAACCTACATTGGGGAAAAGATTTCCTCTTCAGTAAGTGGTGCTGGGAAAATTGGATATCCATATGCAGAAGAACGAAACTAGACATCTGCATCTCTCACCATATACTAAAATCAACTCCAAATGGATTAAAGACTTAAAAATAAGACCTGAAACTGTAAAATTTCTAAGGGAAAATATAGGTGAAACACTTCAGGAACTAGGACTGGGCACAGACTTTGTGAACATGAGCCCAAAGGCACAGGCAACAAAATTTAAAAAAAACAGATGGGCCTATATCAAACTAAAAAGCTTCTGCACAGCAAAGGAAACAATCGACAGAGTAAAATGACAACCTACAGAATGGGAGAAAATTTTTGCTAACTATGCATCCGACAAGGGGTTCATATCCATAATATACAAGGAACTCAAGCAATTACACAGTAAAAAAAACAAATAACCCAGTTAAAAAATGGGCAAAGGAGCTGAGTAGACATTTTTCAAAGGAAGACATACACATGGCCAACAGGTACATGAAAAAATGCTCAACGTCACTTAGTCATCAGGGAAATGCAAAAGGAAATGATCCCTTTAAAGTTGTTAGCATGATTGTTTTTGGCTATATGCTGTTAATAAAAAACATGTGCTTAGAAGTCAACAAATGATGGAGATGATGAGATTGCTGGTGTAAAGGAGGTTGGCACAAAAACTTACCAGAGATGGCATCTCTTTATCCTTATTTTAATGCTGTATTTCTCTCTGACCCCAGAACAAGCCTGCATTGAGTTACTAAAAATGTTCCTTCTTTCAGCTTCCTCATACTTGGTTCTTCAAACATGTAAAGATTCAACTAAGTAAAAATATGAGCTTTGAGAATTAATTTTACTCATCAGTGATATCATTCCTAGGAATTTACTGAACGAGAGACAGAAATAAAAAGGTTCTAGTCCTGAAAATGTTTAATAATGTCTTATTTTAAAATAAAAATAAGTG